CAAATTTCCCTCCAAATATAAGCCCCTCCGAAAATCAGCCCCTTCAAAAAGGGTCTTTGAAAAATGTAAGCCGCGGGGCTTTTTTTCGGAATTTTACGGTATGATATTTTCAAGGCAATGAATTTCTGTGGTTTGATTTCTAACTCATGGTCTTATTCATCAAAGGAAAAGGGTGTCGTAGCAATGTTGAGCTACTATAAGAAGAGCGAGAAATGTTTTACTACACGAGGTTTATTTATTTAATAAAGTGTTCTTTAATTGATCGCTGAAACACGCGTTAATATAATTGTGGCACAAAAACACGAAATCTGTGTCTTTTTTCACAGTCTCCGGAAAAGTATAAAAAGCGGTCTATGACTGCACGTGGCTTACTGTATAGTTTCTCCTCAATAAGGGACGACGTCTGACACTTGCAGACTTCATACAGCATTAGTATAAGCTAAATCAAACTGGAATTAACCACAAGGAAACCAGAGTAGAACAAATGGCAAGAAAACTGTGGGTATGCAGTCTGCAAGTGTAACATAGTTATACAGGGGTACATGTCCCGCTTATGTTTAATAGGTACCAGTCCAACAGATAAGTCAGCAAATAACAAAGAGTTGGGCTTGACGCAACGTAAAAGTTTTTATTTGAGATGCTTGCTGAAGGTTTGCATTATATGTAAATCATCCATGAATTTTAAAACCCAAATAACTATTATAATTATTTCAAGTAACACTGTCAGACAGGGCAATAGCGCTAAAAGGAAACCATGCTAAAAATTACTAACACGGCTAAACAATACAACTAGGAGATTCAAACTACACTACAATGTAAAAAGTAAACAAACACGCTAAGGAAAATACTAGGTCATAGCGAATATCGGGTCGAAATCGGTAGAGTTCATCAGTGGGCTCAGGTTCTTGTATTGTACTCAACCACTCAACGCGATATAACTGTGGCTGACAGCCTCTAAGAGGGAGAAAGCCACAAAAATTCAACACGGAAAGAAGAATGCATTTAGTCTAAAATGACAACAATTACAACAGATTATCACTACGTACTTTGATTATTTCATAAGCTCTCTTACAGACAATACAAATGCACGTCGAAAAAACGAACAACTTCTTTATCTTACTTAAGTTTCACTTATTTTATTTTCCTGAAAAGGATACAGAGATTTTCCCTAAGCTACTTGAATGACCCCGTCTTCAATAAAAGCTGTTGTGTTCAACAATCGATTTCTTATTGTTCATAGTATATTTGATGTTATTAAAAACTGAATCATTGGATAATGCAATTCTAGCATTTTGATTGGCTTAGCCGTTATGGTATATGAGCTATTATACCATGCTCTCCATATGTGGTCGGTGTACGCGTCAGTTTAAAATTGGAAGCTAGCTGAGTTTTTTTTTCGCGAAGGATAGAATGGCGCCCGAAGCAAATCGTTTTAATTCGTTTCTTGGAATACTAGAAATGCAATTTCATCGAAAGAAAAAAGACAAAAACAAACAAAAAAGCCACAAGAGCTTGTTTGAAAGTTTGTCGAAAAACACATGAAAACACATGGAACTAAAGTACCTTGACCAGCTACGAAAGAAGACAAGTGTGATGATGATGATGATGATACCTTTATTACAGTGTCAAAACTGAAATAGCGGTGTATAACTACTAAGTGGGGAAACTTAGTGTTGTTTCTTCATGATCGCGAAGCCGTTCGCGGATCGAATCACTCGCCGATAGATAACTGCGGCTTGTTTATCCGACATCAAAAATATAAATCACAAGTAACTAGCTACAAATACAGGCTATGCAGCCATTCACTAGAGCAATCGAGGCGGTAGTATAGCTTCTTTCCTCGTTTAGCAAAACCAGCTTGTGGTTTCAAACAACTTCATAACAAGCGACCGAGTTAATAGTTTTTCTCCGTTGTTCTTTTCCTTCACATTATCTGCCAGGTTTTTTTTAGCTGTTCTGCTGTGTAAAATCCTTGAATCCCGATGAGTTTTGAAAAAACTAATGTTCATCGCTACAATGTTTTGATTTTTCATTCATGCAGTCCAGGCGAGTCCGTTCGCGCGTTGACAGTTTTGATAGACGTGTGACATGTGAATAGCGGAAGTCCCTTGTCTTTTCCGGTTTGCTCTAGTCGGGGAGATTCAACGAGATTTTGTGGGCGTTTTTAATAAAACAATTATTCCACTCGCGCTTGTTGGATATGAGATGATTATAGCCAACTCGGCGCTACGTGCCTCGTTGGCTATCTATCATCTCATATCCAACGCGCCCTCGTGGAATAATTGTTAAATAACTGTAATGAGGTCCGAAATGTTGATCTGAAAGGAGCACAAAAGGCCATTATCAGAGCCAGGGACACAATTTGTCAAAGGGAAATGGAACATAGATCAACAGAAAGCTAAATAACTAATCTTGAAGTGTGTGAATTTTACGTTTGAAAATCCCGTCGGAACCAATTCTTGCGACTACTGAATCAATGAGACTTGCGAGCGTCATGGGATACTTAATTTATCCTCCTTTGTGTAACATAGCCCTTTTGGCTGTTATCTTTCTACAGTGAAACCTCGATATAACGAACCTCTATTGTAACGATCTTGGTATAAAGAACAATTTTCTTTACCCCAGTAATCGTAAAATGTAGTGAAAAGGAACCTCGAGACGATATAGCGATCACATTTTGCCAGTCCCTCGGCCCCTCGTTAAATCGAGGTGCTACAATATTAATCAATCAACTACTAATATCTTCGGCTAAATATCAGTTTACTACAGTGTGTTTTTTTTTTTTGGCCAATTGTCAGTTAACTGCTAACCCCGTTGGCACCCTCAACACGATGATCGTTCTCAGTGAATGTTTTTTGGTTCTAATCCTTTGAAATAATTTTAAATGGAAGCTCCAAAGCCAAGAGCCGATGTTAAAGGAACTTGATCGTCGATGTAATATTTTTTCTTTCTCAGTCTTCTCAATCTTACAGTTGATGTCGAGCCATGTTCTCTTTCATAATTCGCAATAAGTGAATCTTATTATTTGGAGATTCCCAATAGTATAACGTCATTTGAGGAGACTGTCCTTGGGCGAGTTCAAGTCACTCATCATCTGATCTAGTGCGCTCTTTACGATATTTTCACTTTCCTAAAGGGAACCAAGTGTCACCTAAAGAATCGTTTTTACCGAAATCTGGTACTTTAGACTACATACAGCAAAGCGTAGATTAAATTAAAGCGTTGGATATAATTCTGAGTTTTCCCGCCTGAAGATATATAAGCACGCGATCAACAGAGTAACTTATATAATGTCCCGGATTATATGCCCGTTTAACTCAATGGTATATTGAAGAGTTATTAACCTGAGGTCAGGTTTTGGTTTTTAGTTTTTGTCCGCTTTCTATTGGTTTCGTTTTAGTGGCACTGCGTTTACGCGAAGGGTAATTAAAGTTGACAGTGCAGAGTCTATAAGGTATTCCTGGCATCCGGGATTCGACCAAATACAGTGCGGGATTCGGGAAAATGCACACTTTTTTGACGAGATACGGGATTTCACCGCGCTACCCGGGAAGCAAGATTCGCCAAAATTTCGGCACGGGATGCGGTAATGGAACAGGAAACGGTATTCGGGATGAGAGAAGTTCGGGACGCGGGACTGTCGTGAAAAAAGAGCGAAATGCGGGATAAGGACTCCTCTTCCAGATCCTGATGTTACGGGCTTCGCGTGAATGCAACCGTGGTTTATTTGAGTCTTCCTTTTATCAAGCAATTGTTACCTCGAGCGACTCTACCTCTAAGCCACCTGTTTGTATTGATTAGAAGCGACAGGTGAAATTTTTAAAAGCAATTGAAATAGATTCACCAAAGAAACAACTACGTTTTAGTGATTCATGCGTAATATGATGTCAATATTCTCATATTACATGTGGTTGACAGGTATATTTTTATTTACTTAATGTTCGTAATAAATTATTTACATTACCACAAGGCCATCTTTCCTGGTGTTCGCAAAAATATGAATTTTAAAAATATGACTGCTATTCGCAGTAGAAGCGTTCACATCTTTGGTTATATTGTATTATTTTTAACTTAAAATATCCTAAATCTGAAGAAGAAAATTTTTGATAAGTATATTACATTTTTTTATTTTCAAATTTTTTAAACAGGTTGTTAAAATATGCTTAAAATTTCTCACGCACTATGATTGCCAGCAATAGGGAGCAAAAATGTCATTGTGTCTGTTATGGGAGACGTTTCTTCGATTTGGTTTATGCACTGGACCAAAATCGAAGAATTTCTGATAAGAGACGACCGGAAGGTATCTTTTGAATCATTCTCCTGATATTTGTAATCAATATGATTTTTTTTTCTTTCCAGTAACCTCTATCTATGATCGTGCATGAAGACGTGTTGTTTATGAAACGTTGCGAGAAAAATGTTTTTTTCTATTTTACACGAGTCGTTTAACGTTCAAATTAAAACACCTCTCGAATTTCCCTTTTTATGTCGGTTTTTACAAGATTTGTTCTTACCATATCCATATTGCATTAAAATTATTTCATTCTGGACTTAAACGTGAGGATAAACATGAGTACGTCTCATAGTTTCGTTTTATACTAAAAACAAGCCCAAGGCAATATTGTTTTCTTCATAAAAACCCACCGACAATCGTTCGCGTGGGTGAAATTACAGAGAAGTCATCAAATTCTGACAATTAACTTGTCGTCAATAGAAAAGTTTAATGGGGGAATAAAAACAATACTTGAAGCGACACGCAATCACGCAAGACAGGGAATTCGTATGGCAGCAAACAAGAAGACCGCATGATATATTTGTTAATTTTTATTTATTAGAGAGCACTGGGTGGGAGCTATCAACCAGCGAATCACACATTTACCTTGGCTGCCTAATAATTTTGGCAACCACAGACTTCATGCAAATGTACAGTGCTTCGCGTCAGACGCGACTGAATAATAAAAGTAACTAAACGATATGATTTGAATATTGTTCAGATGAACCTCTGAAAGGTTTAAGGTAATTTAATACACAACGCGAATTTTAATACGTGGTCAAAATATGTGAAAGGTGATAAACCCTGTTCGGTCATAAGTAGAATGGCCTCTAAGCTTTACGATGTCGTAGCCGCCGTGGAACACGAAGTTAACTGTCCTGTCTGTTTGGAGGAGTTTCAAGAGCCTAAATGTTTGCCAAATTGTGCTCACAACGTTTGTCAGGAATGTTTGGAAGAGATGGCTTGTAAAAATACGAAAAACATCATAGAATGCCCGGTTTGTCGAGTCGAATCTTTCATTCCCTTTGCTGGTGTGTCTGCATTTCCAAAGAATCATCTGTTGGCAAGGCTGATCGAAAAGAATCCTTCCAATAAGGCCAAAACCAATGAGTTCATTAAGGAAACTCTAAAGAGAAGCAAAGAGAACCTAGAAGGTTTGAAGAGCGCAATTAACGAGATGGACACCCGACGCAGTTCTATAATGAACCAGGCTGAGAGTCTAAGGCATGAAATCAACTCGGCGGCAGAACAAGTCGTAAAATTGGTTCGCGATCAAGAACATCAACTGCTCCTCGAGGTCGATCAATATATGAACAGTAATTACACCGAAGCAACCTTCAATAAACAAAAAGAAAAGCTGGAAAGCTTACTTCAAAAAACCGTCAACTCCATTGAGAGCCTTGATAAGAAAAAAGAACCAGATAAACGCTCGTTAAAACAGTCGCAACATTTAGAAGAGCTAGCAAAAGTGGCTGGCATTCAAATTCTCTCTGCAAGACGTAAGTGCTTTCGCAATTTCGATTTGACTTTTGTAAAAAGCGATTTCTCCCACGTCACTGTGGAAAAACTGATTGGTACTCTTAGCGTTAAGAGTGATGCCGAAGGCGACAAAAATTCACTGGCTGGTCTAAATGAAATTCTCAGTAACGAGAAAGTCATCAAACACATTGACGGATCTAAAATAAAAGTACCAAGCTTTTTCCCTTTTGCAGTCACAGTGTCACAAAAGACTGGTGATATAGCTGTTTTAGATGCCGAGAACAAACGCGTGCATATCTTCGATCGGGAGGGTAACCATCTTAGCCAATTCTTGTTCATTTTTGGAGACTTTTGGGATATTACGTATTCTCTAAGTGACGAGATAGTTGTATTAAATAGAGACAATAACTCTCTGTTACACTATGACAGGGGTGGAAATCTCAAGAAGAAATTCCCGACCGCCCCGAGGCCAAAGGTTAAATTTACCTTTCTGTCGCACGATGCATCTGGGCGTTTTCTAGTTACGTCCACACCAAGGTACCAAGAATCGGCTTCAGAAACAGATTCCTGTGTTCTCATTTACACTGCAACTGGAAAACTCGAGTCCGTGTTTGGAGGGGGCGTACTTTCGTCTCCGAAGAAAGCAGTGTTCTTCAAAGGAAAGTTTTTCGTTCCAGACGCGGATAGCAAGAGTGTGAAAGTTTTTAATAACAATGGAGAATTTTGTCAAGAAATCGGCAGGGGCATGCTTGAAGACCTCGCTGGGATTGCCACTGATTTTGTGAACGGTCGTATTCTTGTTTGTGACTGTGAGGGGTATGCTGTACACGTTTACAGCACTTTAGGAACACTAGTCAGAACTATCAGAACAGCCGCTCCTCCAGTGGAAATCGTCTTGTGCAAAGATGGAAAGAGGCTAGTAGTTTGTTTTGACGGCGATAAGGCAAGATGCTTTCAGATTCTTTCATACACAGAGAGTACTCATTCGTCGGGCCACGAGCACAATAAACAAACCTAATAATGAGTATAAGTTGAGGACCAAAAATATGTTCGGTTTAGCTTCAGTACTATTCCGAAAGTAAGAAAAGTTTTTTTAAAAAAGGTTGTTGGGTTAAAACGTGCCAGCTGGACTTCTTTTATACAAGGTTTTATTAATTTTTTTTTCATTTTCTAACATAGTTTGCACTCTGAAGGAGTACTTATTTTAAGCTCATGTGATCCGTGCTTCACCTTTTCTTAATTTTTTTAACATTAATATCTGGTATGTAGATTGTTTGTGAGGAATAGGCTGAATAGCAGTATATTCTCTCATCTTCTTTCAGAAGAAATAGGAACCTATTTAAGACAATTTCATGTAACAGCCTCTTTAGGCTAACTTGAAGGGAAGGAAAATTAAAGTTCTTACTCGCGGGATAGAACTGTACGGTGATTGGTAGAATAACGTTAATTTCTGAAGACGGATCATGGTGTCGCATTTAATATAATTTGTAACCGTTCACAGTTATGTTTTAAGTTTGATGCACAATTTATGGCATCTATTTTTTATTTATGTGTCATGTATATCGCCAGAGCGCGCGTAATGTATCTCTTGCAGTCAATTTAATTTTTGTTTTTCCTTGGTTTTAAATTCATTAGCATACATTACCATACCCAAATACAATGGAAAAATAAAAATCAACTGAGATATAAAGTTAACTACAACATATCCGAATAAATTGGTGTCAAATGTAGTCTACCCAGTGTATCTTACGAGTTGTGTTTCGTCGCGTATAATTATGAAAGCCGTAACTGATGGACAAAAACGATAACACTGAGTTTATTTTAATTGGAGCCAATAGCCAATTGGAGAAGTCTCAAATTTAATCTTTTTCCAATCAAACGGTAAAGTTGTGGTCGTCTTTTCACTTCCTGTTCAAAACATTAGTTCCTGTTTTCACTGTAACATGCTAATAGGTAAATTGGGAATCGGCTGTTAATCACTTGTCCAGAACCCTATGTTATAAAATTCGATACAATGTATTATATAAATATACCCAATTATAAAAGTAAAACTAAGAATTACACAAGACGCAATTTTCACCACTACTTTAGAATGTAATGTTTCCAACGTCTTGCTCACTGTGTCCCAAATTATAAAACAATTCTTAATTCTTAAATTGTATTTAATGTTGGTATTTGGTGGTGTTTTGAAAAAAATAGTCTAATTATATGATTCGGACAAAAGCCTTACTTTACTTTGGACGTTAATATTGCTATGTATCGCAGTCTTCTATTCAGCCAAATTGCCTCAGCCCTTCACTAGAGTCTCATATGATGAATTACTATCACGATAAATGGCCCTCAGACCCCTCTCCTGTACCCTCTCGAGTTTTCCAGAATCCGAGTAGCTTAAAATAAATTTCATACTATGCTACAATGTGTTAAATATGGGAGGATAGCATAGAGTTGAACTTACAGTCAAGGCAGGTCAAGCGTACCCCCCAGTGTCTATTAAGGCATTAATTATTTAAAAAATGAATCCGTTTGCAGTTCCCGTAACTTGTGTCAAATTCAAATCTGCCTTCCTGCGTGCGTAATGAGCAGTGAATATATTACAAGAACTTCTCTTTATTTGATCAGATTGAAAATCTTTGAATTCACCATTTTCACCTAGGCCATAATACATATTGTTTACTCCCCCCCCCCCCCCCCCAACTCTCATTTCATTTTTTTTTATATTTCTTATTTCAGGACGGCTAATCCCTAGAAAAACCAATAAAAAAGCATTAACAGTAATTATTAATAGTAAAAACACACAAAACATATCTTGTTTAAAATAGTGTTACATTAATACAAAATATACTACAACATTAA